GAGCTTGAGGAGGACGACGGTACTCCCTCCTCTCCACTGATGTACCCCAGCCCCTCCAGCACCATGTCTCCTTCCCTCAATGCCCGCTGCTCTGTGGAGCTGCCCCGGCTGACCGACCTGACTGGCACCATCAGCCTGAACGAGAGCCTTGGGGAGAGCATGCTGGAGGACCTGCAGGACGGCTACACCATGAGCCCTTCGCAGCAGCTCCCCCCGGCCACCCTGCGGCAGCGGAGCTCCAGTTTCACCTTCAACTCCAAGTGCTCCACCATGGGGGCTGCCACTAACACCTACTGCGGGACTATCTACAGCCAGCCGGCCATGAGCCTCATGCGCCGCCTGCCCATGCAGACCATCCAGGAGAACAAGCAAGCCACCTTCTCGCCCGTCAGCTCCTACAGGAACGCCTCGCTGCAGGACCTGCTCTCCTCCATCTCCTACGCGCACAAGGAGAGCATGGTCCCGGGGGACCTTCCCCTTCCGCAGGCCAGCCCCATGGTGCCGGCCCGTGGCCACAGACACAACCCGCTGCTGTGCGGGAGCGGGGAGCAGGGTTTGTCCTCCTACCCGTCCCACCCGGGCTCTCTCATGAAGAGCAATGCTTTGTACCACCCGTCACCAGCCGGTCACCACCCTGCGGTCAACACCAGTGCCTTAGCTAATCCTGTCAGCCTTATGAGCTTGCCCAGTGACACGTGCAGCATGACAGCCATGCCGCACCATGGGCATCTGCATTCCTACGCTAATAACCAAGGGGCACACATGAGCTTGCTGGATTCGCTGCAGGGCCCCTACCCGGGGGCTGTCCACCCCCCTGTGTTGGGCCAAGACAGGTTCCCAGCAGACCTGGACCTGGACATGTTCAACGGGAGCCTGGAGTGCGATGTGGAGTCGATCATCCTGAATGACTTTATGGACAGTGACGAGATGGACTTCAACTTCGACTCGGCTCTCCCACCACAGAACGGGCTCAACGTGCCTGCGCTGCCCGGGGGTCCGCAGCCCACGAACCAGAGCTGGGTGCCCGGGTGACGCCTGCCCTGGGGGGGGCTCGCCACTGAGAAGCCACGAGGGGAACATTGAGACTAACTTTTTTTTTTCCTTTCTCTTCTGCCTTTGTTTGTTAAGATGGGCTAGAGCCATCGGTCTGAGCTTGAGGTCGAACACAAAACACAAACCGTGGGGTCAAATACTGAGACGGGATAGGGTCTCCAGCCCCCAGCCCACATGCGTGCCCGATCTACTGGGTCCTCCCGAGAGCATCCTCCAGAGAACGCAGGGCCAGCGGGCGGGAGAGGCAGCCGGAGCCAGGCAGGTCCAGGGGGGCAGCAGGAAGGGAAAGCCTTTCCAGATGGTCCCAGTGCCCTGCTGCAGCGGTGCCAGTTTGATTTGTCCTTCGGCTGGGTGATGGAGCAGTGATGGCTGGTGGCGCAGGAGCACCCTGCGTGGGCAACCCTTTCTGGAAAGGGACCCTTTTCTCTGAGCTGTCTTGAGAAACAAGTCCTCTGAGGAGAAGTGTCAGGAGTGGGGATCCTTCCCCAGGGCAAGGGGGGGCTTGTCACCTGCTAAATCCTGGTGGAGATCTGAGCTCTGCCAAGCCCACAGGCCCAGGCCACCCCACTGTGGGACTCCTTGCGTGGCTCCAGGCAGGGTTGCTGGTGAGAAGGGGTGTTGGTGATGGAGGGAAGGGTGTGCAATCTGCAGCCCTGGGGACAGCATCTCCCCCGCGCTGGGGGTGCCACGGTCATGCCTGGCCGTGGAAAACTGCGGTACCCTGCCCAGAGCAGGCGTGGGCACGCTCCTGCGCGTGGCGCGCAGCCCTGCACGGGGTGGTC